TTATTCTCATTACTGTATAGTATACCATTGTGTGGATATACTGCACTTATTTATCTAGTATATTAGTGTTCTCTAGAGGGACAGAACTAATAGGATAGATACGTATATAAAGGGGAATGTATTAAAGAGTATTAACTGACACAATCATAGAGTCCCACAATAGGCTGTCTTCAGGCTGAGGAGCAAGGAAGCCCGTCTGAGTCCCAAAGCTGAGGAACTTGGATTCCGATGTTCAAGGGCAGGAAGCATCCAGCACGGGAGAAAGACGTAGGCTGGGAGGCTAGGCCAGTCTAGTCTTTTCCGTTCTGCCTGCTTTATATTTTGGCTGCACTGGCAGCCGATTAGATGGTGCCCACCCAGATTAAGGGTGGGTCTGCCTTTCCTAACCCACTGACTCAACTGTTAACCTCCTTTGCCAACACCCTCACAGACACACCAGGATCAATACTTTGCATCCTTCAATCCAATCAAGTTGACACTCAGTATTAACCATCACATCTAGTCTACTGTTGTTTATCATTTTGGGTTTTTAAAAACAGTGCTTCCGTGAACATTCTTGTGTCGGGCGAACATATTTCACTTGGGTATCTAACCTAGAAATGGAATTTCTAGGTCAGAGGGTATGCCTGTGTTCAACTTTAGTAGATCTGTCTTGCTTATCTTTAACTCCTGTTTACTTTTAGCCCATTTATGGCCCCTTTAGCCTCGTTTTTTTTTTTTGTTTGTTTGTTTTTTTGAGACAGAGTCTCGCTCTGTCGCCCAGCCCAGGCTGGAGTGCAGTGGCGCGATCTCGGCTCACTGCAAGCTCCGCCTCCCGGGTTCACGCCATTCTCCTGCCTCGGCCTCCCGAGTAGCTGGGACTACAGGCGCCCACAACCACGCCCGGCTAATTTTTTGTATTTTTAGTAGAGACGGGGTTTCACCGTGGTCTCGATCTCCTGACCTTGTGATCCGCCCGCCTCGGCCTCCCAAAGTGCTGGGATTACAGGCGTGAGCCACCGCGCCCGGCCCCCTTTAGCCTCTTACTCTCTCATGACTTTTCAGCTTTGGTCACACTGTTCACAGCTTTACTCTCTGCATACTTATCAGTTCATTTTCCTGTGAGAGCTAGTGGTCTACTTCTCTGCCTACTGGGTGGAACCTGCTTAGCTTGACCACCTTATTGGTTGCTGTTTGCGTTTCTTGCACCAGTGAGTTGTGGCTTACAAGGGTGGTAACAGAACATGGCCGCTCTGGCACGTGATTGACATTCCTAGTATTCGAATAAAAGTAAAAAACAAGTAAAATAAGTTAAAGTAAAACATAGAAAAGGCAAGCCAAATAGTTTAAAACTCTGCTACAGTAATGAAAAAAAAAAGAGCATTGGGATTCAGCAGGGACTTGGATTGCAAATGAGAATAGCCAACAGACCCTGTGCATGTGCAGGTGAAATTCCTAGGGAAGACCACCCATCTCTGCTGGCCAGGCCCAGGCAGATGGGCTGGAGCCCTGACCTCGGAAAGACACTTGATGTTCCTGGGCAGGAGGGGTAAGTTGCATTTCTGTTTAGGTAAGATCGCTCTTTTGCTCCAGAGAAAATGTCCGATGTGTAAAACTTACAGGCTTGTTGTTTGTTGCAGAGGGGCTTAGGTCTGTCTAGAGCCATGTCCATCTGCTCCTCTCCCCTCTTCTCTCCTGCCCTTTGCAGTCGCACCACCACACCTAGCTCACTTAATTTTTTTGTCATTGTTTGTAAAGATAGGGTCTTACTATATTGCCCAAGCTGGACTCAAACTCCTGAGCTCAAACAGTCCTCCCACATCAGCCTCCCAAAGTGCTGAGATTATAGGTGTGAGTCACCACAAGTGGCCTTATTTTTTGTTTTGTTTTGTTTTTATTATGGAAAATTTCAAGCATGCCAGAAGTATAGAAAATTAAATAGAGTGACCCCTCATAAATCTTTTTTTTTTTTGAGATGAAATCTTGCTCTATTGCCTAGGCTGGAGTGCAGTGGCACGATCTCAGGTCACTGCAACCTCCGTCTCCCGGGTTCAAGTGATTCTCCCGCTTCAGCCTCCCGAGTAGCTGAGATTACAGGTGTGTGCCACCATGCCCAGATAAATTTTTTCTTTTTTTTTTTTTTTTGAGACGGAGTTTTGCTGTGTAGTCTTGGCTGGAGTGCAGTGGCTCAATCTCGGCTCACTGCAACCTCCGCCTCCCGGGTTCAAGTGATTCTTCTGTCTCAGCCTCCCGAGTAGCTGGGACTACAGGCACACGCCACCACGCTCGGCTAATTTTTGTATTTTTAGTAGGATGGGGTTTCACCATCTTGGTCAGGCTGGCCTGGTCTTGAACTCCTGACCCTGTGATCGCCTGTCTCGGCCTCCCAAAGTGCTGGGATTACAGGCATGTGCCACTGTGCCCGGCCAAGTTTTGTATTTGTAGTAGAGATGGATTTTAGCCATGTTGGTGAGGCTGGTCTCAAACTCCTGACCTCAGGTAATCTGCCTGTCTTGGCTTCCCAAAGTGCTGGGATGACAGGCCTGAGCCACCGCGCCCAGTGAACCCTCATAAATCCATCACCGAATTTCAGCAGTGATCAACATTTTACCATTTTCCCCACCACCATCTTTTTTGGGTATTTTGATATAAAATAGTGAAAATAGCGCTCTTATTTCAAAAAACAACGTTGTGGAAAATATCTTAGAAAATGAGACACCTGTAACCTCACCCCTCAGAGCCGCTGTTAATTCCGTGTGTGTGTGTGTGTGCGTGTGTGTGTGTGTAGTTTTTAAGGACATTATTATTGTTGTTGTTGTTGTTATTTTTTTTTTGAGATGGAGTCTCACTTTGTTGCCCAGCTAGAGTGTAGTGGCGCAGTCTCAGCTTACTGCAGCCTCCACCTCCCAGGTTGAAGTGATTCTCCTGTGTCAGCCTCTCGAGTGGCTGGGACTACAGGCACCTGCCACCCATTATTTTAAATATTTACAGTATATTCTGTTATACAGGTAAACCATATTAATCCAGTTCCCTATGGGGGCCATTTGGGTTATCGGCTTTACTGTGTTGATTAATGGTGCAATCATTAATCTTCCTATCATATGTACTTGAGCAAGTTTTTTTTTTTTTAGACAGGGTCTCCCTCTGTTGCCCAGGCTAGTGTATAGTGGTGCAGTCCCTACTCACTGCAGCCTCAAACTCCTGGGCTCAAGCGATCCTCCCACTTCAGCCTCCTGGGTAGCTGGGATGACAGGCGTGTGCCATTGAGTCTGGCTAATTATTTTTTGTAGAGATGGGGTCTATGTTGCCTAACTTGGCCTTGAGCTCCTGGGCTCAAGTGATCCTCACCTTGGCCTCCCAAAGTGCTGGGATTACAAACGTGAGCCACTACGCCCAGCTGGAGGATGCACATCTTAAAGATTTAATAGGTGCTGCCAAATTGCCCTCCAAAGAGACTATGTCAGTTTATAATTTCAGCAATAGTGAATGGGAATGTACAGGGGTATTTTATTTTATTTTATTTTTTGAGACAGAGTTTTGCTCTTGTCCCCCAAGCTGGAGTGCAGTGGTGCCATCTCGGCTCACTGCAACCTCTGCCTTCGGGGTTCAAGCAGTTCTTCCTCCTCAGCCTCCCAAGTAGCTGGGATTACAGGTAGCTGGGATTACAGGTGTGCATCACCACACCCAGCTAATTTTTGTATTTTTAGGAGAGACGTGGTTTCACCATGTTGGCCAGGCTAGTCTCAAACTCCTGGCCTCAAGTGTTCTGCCCACTTGGGCCTCCCAAAGCGCTGGGATTATAGGCATGAGCCACCACCCAGCCAGGGATATTTTAAAGTAAATCCTAACTATTATGTCATTTTCACCTGGAAATACTTCTGTATTTTTTTGCTAACAGATAAGGACATTTTTTTGTGTTTTGACATAACCATTATCACTTCTGAAAAATGAATACCTTTTTACTGATGGTTTGTTCAAATCAGAATTCAGACAAGGCATTCAAAATGTGCATGTGGAAAGGAATACTGAAGAGGATGCCCACGCTCAGCGCTGCAATTTTGAAACCCTGTCAGCTGGGGGCAATGGCTCATGCTAGCCACTTGGGAGGCTGAGGTAGAAGTTTAGGCTTGAGCCCAGGAGTTTGAGGCCAGCCTGGGCAACATAGCAAGATCCCATCTGCTTTGTGCAGATGCGGGTTTGGGGCCTGAAGTGAAGGCCTCTTTTACTCTAGGCTTTTTTCTGCTGCAGTCTAAGTGATGTTTGAAGATTTCTGGTCTGTTTGCTTCTGGTCAGCCCCACACCCAAGGTTCTGCTAGAGATCTCTCTCTCTAGTCTGCGTTTTTTTTCTTTTTTTTTTTTTTTGAGACGGAGTCTCACTCTGTCGCCCGGGCTGGAGTACAGTGGCCGGATCTCAGCTCACTGCAAGCTCCGCCTCCCGGGTTTACGTCATTCTCCTGCCTCAGCCTCCCGAGTAGCTGGGACTATAGGCGCCCGCCACCTCGCCCGGCTAGTTTTTTGTATTTTTTTAGTAGAGACGGGGTTTCACTGTGTTAGCCAGGATGGTCTCGATCTCCTGGCCTCGTGATCCGCCCGTCTCGGCCTCCCAAAGTGCTGGGATTACAGGCTTGAGCCACCGCGCCCGGCCTTTTTTTTTTTTTTTTTTTTTTTGAGATGGCGTCTCACTCTGTAGCCCAGGCTGGAGTGCAGGAGTGCAGTGGTGTGATCTTGACTTACTGCAACCTCCACCTCCCGGGTTCGAGCAATTCTCCTGCCCCACCTTCCCGAGTAGCTGGGACTACAGGTGTATGCCACCACACCTGGCTAATTTTTTGTATTTTTAGTGGAGACAGGGTTTCGGCATTTGGCCAAGCTGGTCTGGAACTCCTGACCTCAGGTGGGTGATCTGCCTGGCTCGGCCTCCTAAAGTGCAGGGATTACAGGCTCAGCTACCACGTCTGGCCCCAAGCCTGCCTTATTTCTGTGCGGCCTCGCTCATATGCTTCTGGGTCTCAATTTACAGGAGCTTCCTTGAAGCTTTCTAAAACAAATGCCTGGAGGTTGTAACTGCCTTCCTGTGATCTCTGCTGCGAAGATGAGCCATTTGTTCAACGGAGAAGGCTCGCGGGCTATTCTTTGCCAATGTTTTTGCAATCTTACTCTCCTATTATTTGGGCTGTAGAAACTTTTACAACTGGTGAGACTTTTGCTCTCTAGACTTTACTTATTCTTTCCATTTCTGCTTAAAAAGTGGTATAGCCATTCTTGCCTGTACTTACCTTTGTCTTGAAATAGCTTGCTAAGGCAGTCAGTAGTAATTAGCATACTCCATCATTCTGACTCTTCCCACCACTTTCCCTAGGCCAGCAGGCTCCGCAGGCAGTGGATCTATGAAAGGCAGCAGTGACTACAGGCATTCCTTTAAGCGGGCAATATTTCATCATGATATATGCCAGGCTCTCTAGCATTTTGCCACCTGACCAATAAGCCAAACTCACATATTTTAGATTTTTGTTCACAGCAGCAGCCCACATCAAGGTGCTCATTTGTTGTCAGTCAGGGTTTGGTCAGGAAAATGGAAACTACCCTAGGTATTTCAAGCAGGAAGGCATTTAACATAGTGAACTAGAGGCTTACAAAACCATTATCAGGGCTGGGGGTGATGTGGTGGCAGCAGGGCCAGGGAAAGTTACTGTTAGCTTTCAGAAAATTAGGAAGTAAAAGAATTGTAGGAAACTGTTGCAGATCAGCTGGGCCCTCTGTAGGACCAGGGAAGGTGAATTTCAGGAGAGTTCTTAGAGGCTGCTGGTGCAATGTGACATCAGCCCAGAGCCTACGCCCACGCCCATGCCCACCCCTGCTGGAAGAATCCCATCTCTGCTGCTCCTCTGCTTTCTGAATCTTGTAGGGTAGCTGAGCCTCTCCTCACTGGCCAGGATCCAGGTAAGGTGGTTCCTGCTATCCAAGGGAGGGCACAGACTGGGAGGAAATGATGCTTTGTTCCAACTTCCCCTAAAGTTGAGGGGACCACTAAACCTTACAAAGACAGGAGAAACAATTCTCAGTATATTGCTGTTAAATTACGTTATAGATTAAAAGTTTGCTGTCTGGAAGTGAATACAAATATATGCATAAATAACATTTTATTTTTGTAATCATTTTTATTTATAGACTATAAAGCAATTGGCAAAATAGGAGAGGGAACGTTTTCTGAAGTTATGAAGATGCAAAGCCTGAGAGATGGAAACTACTATGCATGTAAACAAATGAAGCAGCGCTTTGAAAGGTAGGCTGCCAGAGATGCACTTGGGACCAAACACACATCCAGGTTTCAATCAATAATGGAGACTTACTACTAGGAGGGAACTTTATTAATTTAATAAAGTGTAAGATACAGTCAGATTTCTTTGGACAGTGAGGGTTATGTGCTAATGTTATGTTTACCATACTGGAGTTTACTCATATCCAGTCTTGCTGTAATATCAGTGATGAATGACCACAAAAAAGTTTTTAAGTTTCAAAAGTGTGTCTCACCTTAAACAGTCTGTATGTTCCTAAAAGTTATATATGTATTGGATTTCTTTTTTTTTTTTTAATTACAAAAACAAAAAATGATATATCAACCAATGGAACAGGATAGAGAGCTTGGAAGTGAACCCTTTATGATCCATTTAATTTTTTTTTTTTTTTTTTTTTGAGGCAGAATCTCACTCTGTCTCCCAGGCTGGAGTGCAGTGGTGCAATCTTGGCTCACTGCAACCTCTGCCACCTCAGTTCAAGCGATTCTTGTGACTTAGCCTCCTAGTAGCTGCAACTGCAGGTGTGTGCCACCAAGCCCTGCTAATTATTATCTTTTTAAAGTATAGATCAGGTGTTACCTTGTTGGCCAGGCTGGTCTTGAACTCCTTGGCCTCAAGTGATCCGCCCGCCTTGGCCTCCCAAAGTGCTGGGATTGCAGGTGTGAGCCACTGTGCCCAGCACATTTATTTTGTTTGTTTTTGTTTTGTTTTGTTTTGTTTGAGACAGGGTCTCACCCTGTCATCCAGGCTGGAGTGCAATGACTCGATCTCAGCTCACTGCAGCCTCCACCTCCCAGGCTTAAGCGATCTTCCCACCTCAGTGTTCTGAGTAGCTGGGACCACAGGAGCAGACCACACGCCTGGCTAATTTTTGTGTTTTTTGTAGAGACGGGGTTTCACCCTGTTGCCCAGGCTAGTCTCGAACTCCTGACCTCAAGGTATCTGCCTGCCTTAGCCTCCCAAAGGGCTGGGATTACAGGCATGAGCCACTGTGCCTGGCCATGTGTTGGACTTCTGTAAATGCAGCCTTAGTCTAAATGTAGTAGAGGTCCTTGCAATTTAACTGTGAATAAATTAATATATTAATATTATATTAATATAATGTAAGTGCAGGGATTATAGGCATGAGTCACCGTGCCCACCCTGAGCCATCACGCTCAGCCTGAGCCACTATACCCAGCCTTCATTTTTTGATTAATTAGTTAACTTTAAAAATAGAGGTGGGGTCTCACCGTGTTGCCCAAGCTGACCTCAAACTCCCGGGCTCAAGTGATCTTCCTGCCTCAGCCTCCCAAAGTGCTGGAATTATAGGTGTGAGCCACCCACCTGGCCAAGAACAGTAATTTCATCCTCATGACATCTGGATGGGGTAGTTATCCTTGTTTTGTACATGAGGATAGGTGCTTAGAGATGTGAGGTAATTTGACATTTTTTCTAGATCACTGGGTGGGCAGAGCCAGATGTGAACCCAGATTCTGCTAAGGCAAATCCTTGTTCTTCACTGCCCAGTGCATCTGGCAGTTTACCTGTCACTAGGAAGACGGAAGCCACCAGGTGTTCTGCTCCTTCTCTTCTAGCACTTCTTCCTCTCTACGCATTCTGCATTCGCTGTGTTTCTTTCTTTCCCTGACTGCATCTTTACTTGTAAACCACTGATGAGAGAGAATTTGATGCACAGTGTACTGATGATCCCGTATCTAAAGAGCAGACAGCTGGGTGCTGTGGCTCACACCTGAAATTCCAGCTACTTGGGAGGCTGAGGCAGGAGGATTGCTTGAACGCAGGAGTTCAGGATCAGCCTGGGCAACATAGCAAGACCCCATCTCTACAAAAATTAAAAAAACAAGAACAGACGTCCTTAAACAGCCACCTTTGACCCAAAGTTGCTGGTACAGGACTTTGAACAGTAGGGTGTGATGCTTTTTGTTTTTTTTTTTGAGTCAGGGTCTCAGTCTGTCGCCCAGGCTAGAGTGCGGTGGTGTGACCTCAGCTCACTACAACCTCTGCTTCTGGGGCTCAAACAATTCTCCAGACTCAGCCTCCTGAGTAACTGGGACTATAGGCGTGAGCCACCAAATGCCTAGCTAATTTTTGTAATTTTTTTTTTTTGAGACAGAGTCTCACATTGTCACCTAGGCTGGAGTGCAGTGGCATGATCTTGGCTCACTGCAACCTCTGCCTCCCGGGTTCAAGCAATTCTCCTGCCTCAGCATCCCGAGTGCCTGGGACTACAGGCGTGCGTCACCGCACTCGGCAAATTTTTACTTTTTTTTTTTTTTGAGATGGAGTCTTGCTCTGTCGCCCAGGCTGGAGTGCAGTGGCCGGATCTCAGCTTACTGCAAGCTCCGCCTCCCGGGTTTACGCCATTCTCCTGCCTCAGCCTCCCAAGTAACTGGGACTACAGGCGCCCGCCACTTCGCCCGGCTAGTTTTTTGTAATTTTTAGTAGAGACGGGGTTTCACCATATTAGCCAGTATGGTCTCGATCTCCTGACCTCGTGATCCGCCCGTCTCGGCCTCCCAAAGTACTGGGATTACAGGCTTGAGCCACCGCGCCCAGCCAAATTTTTACATTTTTAGTAGAGACGGGGTTTCATCATGTTGGCCAGCCTGGTCTCGGACTCCTGACCTCAAGTGATCTGCCCACCTTGGCCTCCCAAAGTGCAGGGATTACAGGTGTGAGCCACCGTGCCCAGCCTAATTTTTGTATTTTTGTAGAGACAGGGTCTCTCCATGTTGTGGCTGGTCTCGAACTCCTGAGCTCAAAGTGATCCACTTGCCTTGGCCTCCCAAAGTGCTAGGATTACAGTCCTGGGTCCAGCCTCTTCCAAATAAGTATAGAATGTTCTAAGCAGCAGTTCTCTAATGGGTCAAGAATGCTCAGTTTATTGAAGTTCCCTCTCATACCTCCTCAGCCCCTGGGAAGATTGTGCGGTTACCTAAGGGACATGGTTTCCCGGTGAAGCACATCCTGAGTCTGCCATCTGCCAGAGTCCTCACACACTAAAAGTGCCTGGTCCACCTGAATCTTGTCTTCCTTGTCATGAGTGCTTGAGGACTAAGCAAAGGAATGAACAGAAAACTAACAAGGTGGGGCATATGGTAAATGTGCAGTGGATGATGGCCTTCCTTACTGTATGCACAATCATTTGTTGTATTTCAGAAACAATTTATGTTCTTTGCCTTTAACTTCAAAAGCAGTTGATTAGAACACATCCCATAGGTTGGCCCGGCATGGTGGCTCATGCCTTGTAATCCCAGCACGTTGGAAGGCCAAGGTGGGAGAATCGCTTGAGCCCAGGAGTTTGAGACCAGCCTGGGCAGCAAAGGGAAACTCTGTCTCTACAAAAAAATAAAAAAAATCAACCGGGCGCGGTAGTGTGTGCCTGTGGTCCCAGCTACTTGGGAGGCTGAAGTGGGAGGATCTCTTGAATCCAGGAAGGAGGTGAAGCTGCAGTGAGGTGTGTTTGTGCCACTGAACTCCAGCCTGGGCGACAGAGTGAGACCCTGTCTCACTCTGCCTTCCTCGACAAGGAAGCCAAAATTCCGCTGGACCAGGCACTTTTGGTGTGTAAGGGATTTGGCAGAAAGCAGATCCAGGATGTGCCTCACCACCAGGAAACCATGTCCGTTAGGTAACTGCACACACACACAAATCCGTTTCTGCTTACTTATCATTGTGTAAATGAATCCTCAGAGTCGCCTTGCACAGCTGTGTGGGTGGTGTGAGGAATGTGAAGCATTAGTAGCAGAAAGTCGCACTGAGTCACTTGGGCAGCACGAGGTTGGTATTTGGAGCGTCTGACCCCTAGCCCCTCCAGTGTTACTTCTGCTCCTTTCCTCTGCTTTAATTCAAATAGAAATGGATAGCTTTTGCAGTAATCTTAGTTAATGTGAAGTTAAAGAAAGGTAAAGGTAAAAAAAATACACATAATGGATTAGTACTGTGGCAGGGAGGGTACTTTCACTCCTGAGCGTTGTTTGCCTTTTGAGTCGCTGAAGGCCTTAGTTAGGGATAAGAAGGTTAGTTACTTGCCTGAGGCCTCAACAGAACTGAGTCCTTTTGGTATCTTTTCTGGTATCTCCTCAGAATTTTCCTCCACCAACACTCGCCAAAAGTACACAATGAAGAATAGGCTCTCTTTGGGCACAGTGGCTGACACCTGTAATCCCAGCACTTTGGGAGGCCAAGGTGGGCGGATCAGTTGAGCCTGGAAGTTCAAGACCAGCCTGGGCAACATGCCAAAACCCCGTTCTACCAAAAAAAGAAATAAAAAAATTAGCTGGGCATTGGTGGTGCCTGTAGCGCTGGCTACTCAGGAGAGTGAAGTGGGAGGATTGCTTGAGTCCTGGAGGTTGAGGTTGCAGTGAGCCATGATTGTGCCACTGCACTCCAGCCTGGGCAATAGAGCAAGACTCTGTCTCAAAAACAACAACAAAAAATGGTTCTCTTTTGCTATGCTTTTAGTCTATATTTTTCCTATAGAAATAGAAGAAATGGAGTGAGTCTCTTAAAAAAAAAAAAAACGTAGTCTTGGTATTTGCGGGATCTCCCTTTGTGCCCCGAGGCGGTGACATTGGCACAAGTCTGCTAAACCTGGGGTTCAGCATAGCGTAACTAGCTCCGACTCTAAAGGTCAGAACTAGCAGCTCTTCCACTTTAGTTAATGCGATCTTGAACAATTCCATAATTTCTCCGTGCCTCTGTTTATTTATACAATGGGGATAACCACAGTTATCTACCCCGTAAGGTTGTTGTGAGGGTCAAATTAAATAATGCAGATGAAGCACTTAGTGCAGTGCTGGCATACCGTAAAAAGCAACTTGTTGTGTAAATCAGTTTTTCCATAACAGATAATACAAGTTAGGAGAGCTTGAAGACTATTTTGGAGATGGAAGTGAGATGATAATAATAGTAAGATTACCGCAGTTGTTCACTACATATCTGGTGTCATGAACAGTACTAGGTGAATTATATGCATGTCATT